CACAATAAACTTTATTTTAGGACAGTTTTATATTTATAGAAATATTGCAAAGATAATATAGGGAGTGACCATATCCTTTCATTCAGCTTTAAACTTATTATTTTACTTTTAGAATTATTTTTATTTTTCAGTGCTAGTGATTGAATCTAAATCTAGTTTAGCATTCTACTGCTGAGCTACATCCCTAGCCCTTTATTTTATTTTATTGAGACAAGATTTTTTTTTTTTTTTTTTTTCCCCAGTACTGGGGATTGAACTCAGGACCCGGCACTTGCCAGGCAAGCGCTTATTCTGCTGAGCTATCTCCCGGGCTTTTGCTGTATAGCTTAGGTTGGCTTCATTTTTTTGTTTGTTTGTTTGTTTGTTGTGGAACCAGGGATTGAACTGAGGCCCTTGTACTTGCCAGACAAGTGCTTATTCTACTGAGCCATCTCCCTGGCCCCTTAGGTTGGCTTCAAATTCCTGATCCTTCTGCCTCAACCTCCTGAGTAGCTGAGATCACAGGTACACACCACCATGTCTTGCTCTCTCTTAGTATCTTACAGTAAAATGCCACATTTTACAGCTAGTGAACCAGTATTGATACAGGATAGCCCATTGAAGTCCATACATAGTTTTTTCAAATTTCCTTAGGTGTTTTACCTAGCGTTCCTTTTCTATTCCAGGATTCCATCCAGGATATGCCATGTTTCCTTTGGCTTCTCTTGACAGTTTCTCAGTTTCCTTGTTTGTGATGACTTTGATACTATCAAGGAATACTTATGAGATATTTTGTAGAATGTCTCTCAATTGGGATTTGTCTAATGCTCCTCCTCCATTCCTTTTTCTTCTGGGATTGAACTCAGGACCTAGGCAGATGCACTATCCCTGAGCTACAGCCCCCCAATTTTTTGTTCAATGTGCTTTCTTTGCCCTGTAATATTTTGTGAACATTTCTCTTTTCTTTCTTTCTTTCTTTCTTTCTTTCTTTCTTTCTTTCTTTCTTTCTTGGTGGAACTGGGGATTGAATTAATAACTTTCAGTGTCAATAAATAGAGGGGAACATCATAATCTTTAGAGGTTATGTAGCACATGTTTAATCAGTTCTCTATTGATGTGTGCTTTACTTTCAGCTTTTCCTTATTTCCAGAAGTTCTTGGATAACATTTTTGCACATTCATTTAGTGCAAGTGTGTGACCATTCCTTACTTTATTATGTGATACCTAATTGGCCTCCTTTGTTTGTACAAAGGGAAAGTTAATACAGGGGAGCTCAGGTTGTTTACCTGGACCTGGACTGATGGATGATGGAAGGCAGATGACTCTAAGCTAACATTTATGAGCCACACAGCAAAGTTGCTGCTGCTTGCTGTTGTTGCTAATATTGGCTCCATGTGCTTTCTTTGGAGACCTAACCTGCAAAAATACCCTTTCAACCCACCCGCATCCTTATAGGATGCTTCAAAAGTATAGTGTTTTGGTTGTGGCAAAATGGGGCATATTCAAAAATAATGTACCCAAATCCAGAATAAGAAAAAGGAGATGAGGTCATCCCTTCCTCGGAGGGGAGGGTATTGAGCCTCTGCCCTATGAATCCAAAAGAGAATCATTGGGCTAATCAGTGGCTTTCTAAATATTACCTTCAGGGCACTCCACTGATGGGAAGCAGGAGATGGATTGGCCTCCATGCTCAACAAACAATGAAGACAGATCCTAGGGCAGGTTTATAGTTCCAATCCTTAATGGATCGCCACAAGATGGTTGGGTCTCTTGTCACCAAAACCTCAGGATGTGCAGGATTAGGTCTTCCTGCTGCTGAATGGGTGACATTGATTGGCAGAGCTAAACCTGTTGAAATTCCCACGGAAATCTGAGGACCTCTTCCATTAGAAATTATGAGTTTTGTTTTAGGAAAAAGCAGGGTGAACCTACAGGCTGTTGAAGTACTCCTTGGGATTATTGATTCAGACTATTTTGGGGAAATTCAGGTTATAATTCAGGTGCCAGATGTCTGGGTTTTTGATTTCATATAATTTTTTTTTTTTTTTGGGCGGAACCGGGGATTGAACTCAGGCCCTTGCACTTGCCAGACAAGTGCTTATTCTACTGAGCCATCTCCCCGGCCCTTGGGTTTTTGAACAGTATAGCACCTGGTTGATTTTTTCTGCAGCTCCTGGTCAAGAATAGATTTGGTGTTAATCAGGTATTCTTGCTTGAAAAGTTGTAACATGAATTGTTATATGTTATCCTGTTTCTGATTTTTGTTCTTGCTTTTGTTTTTACTCTTCAAAATAAAATAAAATTAGAAAAGAAAAAAACAATAGATTTAGGGGAATGAGGTGGTAACTCCCAGGAGGAAGTGCTCACCACTTAGGATGTCACAGGGTGCAATTTGTTAGTGTTGCGTCAGTACCGTTGAGATTAAGGAAGACTGTTTTTAGGATACTAGTGTGTAAATTAAAGGAAACTCAGTGTGTTAGCATTGTTGAAATTAAGGGAAAATAATGTGAATGTGTTGAAATTAAAGAAAATATTTTCAGAGATTGATGGAAACGTACAGATTGTTACAAGGGATAAAGGACTTTGCTGTGGGAAATGAGGGTGGTCTCAATCTGTGTGAGTATTAAAATTAAGGAAAAACATTTAGAAGGATAGAATGTATTTTGTTGCAGGAAATTCCCTCAAGCCTATACAGTGTGTTCTGTGGAGGATGTATTGTTTGCCATTGATTCTCAGGAACAGTTTACTTTTCTTTTTGTAGAAACTGAATGGGCTTTGATATTTGATAAGTCATGAATTATGCATAGCCCCAGAGAAAATTTTAACCACAGTTCTTGGGGTTGTTTGGGAACCCTACTGGTGTGGGGAGCAGGTTTTGTTTGTGTCCTTGTGGACAATGGATGGATGGTGTGGATATTATGAAGGTGCGTAATTCCACTTTCCTTGATAGTAAGAGCATTCTCCTGGAGGACAACAGAAGAGAACTATCCAGGAGGCAGAAGAACTCGTCCATCATTGAGACCTGCCTGGCTAGGAGCTTTGGATGGGCCCTGGGTGGGGGTGTGGGGGAGTAACTGATTGCCAATCACAACTACAACCCTCTTCAGCTGGAAGACAGCAGAACGGTCTTCACTTATTGACCCTCATGGCAGTTAGGGGTTCTTTCATAGAGGAGCACAGTTGGGTTGGTATGGGCAGTCAGACAAACTGCTCTCAAAAAAATCCAGCACAGATACCTTGCAGATGTGGGTGGAAATACAGTCCATGGAGGCTAGACCCCAAGACAAAGGATAGAATGACAATGCCTGCATACTTCCCCTAGGGGTGACTGATATTTAAATATTGGTATCATAAAAACAAAAAAGAAGGGAAGATGTGGGAGTCTGGATGAGAATTGAGGCCTAATCTGTCTGCTCTGAGAGCACAAAGGAAAAGTTAATACATCTGAGATCAAATTGTTTACCTGGGCACATATTAATGGATACTGGAAGGCAGATGAAGCTTATGTTACTTTAATTGCTTGCACGCATGTTTGGGTGAATAGAAGCAGGAGGAGTCAGACGCTTGGGGCTCCTCTGCTCACTAGAGAAAAGTGCTCCCTGGCTGCTTTGTGTGGGTGTTTTTGTCTTTCATCCCTGTTCACACTGCAGGGAACAGATTTGTAGGGACAAGTTCCTTACAGTTTACTATTTGCCTTGGTCAGCTTTCTGTTACTATAGCAAATATCTGAGATAATAAACTGAAAATGAGGAAAAGCTTATTTTGGCTCATGAAATTTCAGTTCAGTTTGGTTGACCTCATTGCTTTTGGGTCTGTGGTAAGAGCAGTACATCTTAGAGTATATGTGGTAGGGGAAGCCAGTTCATGTCATAGCCAGATATAAAAAATAAAGAGGTCAGGGTTTCTCAGTCTGCACTAAGGCCATGCGCCTAGTGATCTCCTGTTAGCTGTCATCTTTTTAAGGTTTCACTACCGCCCCCAAAATGCCCTTGGACTGGCTATGAAGCCTTTAATTTGTGGCCTTTAGGGAACATTCCCTGAACCTAACTATAGCATTATTCAACTTTGTTTCCAAAAGCATTTTGCACTTGGCTGTTTCTCACCCTGCAGGCACACTTTCCCTTGGTTGATGCAATTTTCTCTAGCTGGACTGGTTTTGCTTATCTTTGCCTATGATATCCTCTGCGTGATTCAGGGCTCAGCTTCAGAGCTACTTATTTGTTGTAGAAGCTCTTTTGGTATTCTGAAGATAATTTAATGGTGCCAGTCTACCTTTTGCCATTGGGCATGAATTTAAGCCTCCTACTCCACCCTGAACTTTTTTCTCACTAGTTTTTGAACCCAATACACTAGTTTTATCTTCCACTTATAGTGGTGAGTACAGAAGTAAATTGCATATTTTAAAGCACGTGAATAGCTGAGAAATTAAGAGGTGTCCTTGTCTACCCACACTGCACTGCATGCTGAGGGGGCCAGATAGATTTGAGTTTGTTTAAAGTGACTACAGCTGTGCATAGTTGAAAAACAATGTTTCCTAGATGGCCTCAAAAATGTTAGAAGACTTTAGTGTTGCAGTCTGTCTTTCCAAACGCTCATATGCAGCGTGCCAAATATTTAGATTGGGTATGAACCGAGGAATTGAAGTAATTAAGTAATTAATGAATCCTTCCGATTTTCCTTTTAGGTAGGAGATATAACCTGCGAAGAGGTGAACGCCCAAAACCAAACCCAGCCGGAGAGACGCTGTTAGCAGTTGAAGCTAACGACCCACTGCTGCTGACCCACCTAGGGCACTTCCTGGAGGAGAGACGCCCCCTTCTGTTCAAACTCCGTTCTGGAGTGGCGCGCACGCCGCGGATCACCGGGGGTTAGGTGGTGGTTCTAGAGGCCCAGAGCCGCCCCGCCTCCGCTCTCCGACGCCCAATCACCTGCAGCCTCCAGGACACGTCCCATCGCGAGCCACGCCCCCAGCCGGCCCGGCGTGGGGCGCCTTTAAGAAGCCGCAAGAGCCGCGCGTTCTCTCTAGGGTGTGCGACCCGGAGGGCGAGTCCTGTGCTGCGAGCCCCCTGGTGGCCCGCGCGCCGCCGCCCCTCGTCGCGCTCCTGTTGGGGGCTCCGCCGTCCTCGCCTCGGCTTCCCTAGCCCCCTCCCCGCGCGCTCCCGCCTCTCCTCAGCCGGCCTGCCGGGAACTCGCGCGCTCGGCGCGGACGGGCTGCGGGGCCATGGTGCCCGCCCGGGAGCAGCCCGGCGCCGCGATGGGGACGAGCGAGGCGCCGCCGCCCGGCCCCGCGTCCGCGGAGGGCGCTGCGCTGCGCGGCCCGGGACCCTCGGACGACTCCGAGGCGGCCGCCGAAAAGGTGGAGGTGGAGCTGGCGGGGCCGGAGCCCCGGGAGCCCCCCGAAGGCGGCTGGGGCTGGCTGGTGATGTTGGCGGCGATGTGGTGCAACGGGTCGGTGTTCGGCATCCAGAACTCCAGCGGGCTGCTCTTCGTGTTCATGCTCCAGACCTTCGAGTTCAAGGACGATGACAAGATGGTCTTCAAGACAGGTGAGGCCCCGAGCGCATCCCGCGTCCGAGGCGCGAGCCCAGCCGGCCGCCCGGGCCCGCGTGTGCCCCGCTGGCGCGGGGTCCGGACGCAGGCGCCGCGTGTGTGGAAGTGAGCCGCAGCGTTTACTTGCCCAGGCTTCCTTCTTTCCTCTGGAGAATGGGCGTCAAGAGTGCACAGCACCTTCCTCTTACGGTTGGAAAGCACTTCTGACACCATGGCGTGAAAAGTGTGTCGTGGCTGCGCGGGTTGGACGGTCCGTCTGTCTGCCGGCGTGCAGAAGGCTGTCTGTGGTGGAGGACCACGCGGGAGTTTGGCGAGATGAAATAAACGTATCCCAAGGTCACAGGGAGGGACGAGGGGAGCCGTTGGAGAGCCAACCCCCCCTCCTCGCCCCCGTGCTAAATATAGAAGCACAGGAGGCAGCCGAATCCGAGCTTGGGGACTGGGAAGAGGAAGGTTAGGGGTTCCCTGCTTGTGTTCTTTGACATATTCTGCCATGCTGTAAAGGACACGCAGAAGGCGCACACTCAACGTTTTCCCCGGGTAGAATGCTTTTACCTGCCTTGACTGAGGAGGGAAAAAGTCCCGGGAACTGTGTATAACACTTTTACATGAATTATCTCACCTCATCCTGCAAAGCAGGTGTTGCCAGCTCCATGTGGGGGAGAAAACTGAAGGTTAGTGAAATAAAGGGGTTTGGTGAGGAGCAGAATGGAGACAGGACAGACATCACCTGACTTTAAGGGCTAAATGATTTCCATTGTTACTGAGTCAGTCTCCCTCCCTGCTGTTCAGGGAACTTTGTAGGATGAATTATATAATTAAGGTTTGAAATAAAGGTTTAAACCTTACTTTTCTATATTTTTTTGACAAATATTCCTTAAGTCATTAGTGTACAAAGGATAAGACTAATAAATTCTAAGACAAAGGTAATGTTGACAGTTTAAAAACCTTATGTAAATACTGTAGTATTACACTATTTATATCTTTCTGCAGCCTACTTCAGCATCATGTTTAGGATTTATCCACCTCAAATTCTTTTTATTTTAACATCATATGATTTTCATTATATGAATATATTGTGCTTTATGCATCATTTCTTTAATGGACATTTAGATTGCTCCCAAACTTAACTGTAAGTAATGCTGCCATGAATATTCTTGTACAGTGTCTCCTTGTGCATGTGAGTAAGGTACCATATTTAACTCAGAATTTCTATTCCTTAAATGTGTACTGTTGAAGCTACTGTGTTAAAAATGTAGTAAGGATGGCAACCTTTGTAAATCCCAGTAGGCTACATATGTGTATACAGTACTACACAAAGATTTTAGAACCTTTCTATAAAAGTATTGGGTATGTGGGAGGAAAAATGCAAATAGGCAATATTATGGTTAACTTCTTTTTTCTTGCTGATTCTGGGGACTGACATTCCTAGCCTAGTGTTAACCTTTTAAGACTAGTTTCTGCATCATTCAGCCTATTTTATCTGGAGTCACAGATTTTTTGTTTCTTTGTTTACTTTGAGACAATGTCTCACTATGTAACTCAGACTGGCCTTGAACTCAGTGTGTAACCTAGGCTGACCTTGCATTCTCAGCAATTCTCCTGCCTCAGCATCCTGGGTTCTGGGATTACATGAAATTAAAAGCACACCTGACTGGGGTCATAGATTTTTTTTGGGGGGGGGCGGCTCATGGTGCTGGGAATTGAACTCAGGACCTTGTACTTGCCAGGTAGGCACATGTGCCACTGAGCTATATCCCAGGCCCATAGATTTTTTTTTCCACCATAGATTGTTAATGTGATCAGAACAACTGTCCTCTTACTCACCACTGCTTTTACAAACTCAGATAAGTAGATTCTATTGGTTTGGGTGTTGTTTTTCTTCCTTTTTTAAATGAAAAGAATCTGAATTATATCCTCAGACTTTTTCATTTTGAGATAGGATCTTGCTAAATTGCTCAAGCTGGACCTGAATTTATATTCTTGTCTCAACCTCTTGAATAGGTAGGATTTCAGGCATATACTACTGGCCCTGGCTCATCTTTTTTGAGAGGGACAGAGACAGAGGACAGAAAGAGAAACAGAGAAACACAGCAGATCCACACACAGATACTGTAGCTTTGGCAGGAATCAGAATTTTTTAGTATTGAAGTTCACTCATCTCCATAGTTTTAGTTGGCTGTGTAGCATCCTTGTATTAGGTAGCTGAAGTTGAGTGCATTAGTCTGTCTGTCTGTCCGTCTGTCCGTCTGTCCTTCTTTTTTTTCTTTTCTTTTCTTTTTTTTTTTGTGGAACCAGGGATTGAACTCAGATCCTTGCGTTTGCCAGTCAAGCGCTTATCCTACTGAGCCATCTCCCCGGCCCTTTCTTTCTTTTCCAAGTCAGGTTCTCACTGTAGTCCAGGCTGGTGTGATTCCCCTGCCTCACCCTTCAGAGTCCTGGGATTATAGGTATGCAACGCCATGCCTGCCAGTCAGCCGCTTTTTGCAAATGTAACAAATACTTGAGGTAATCAGTGTATAAAGACCAAAGGTTTATTTTTGCCTCGGTTTTGGAGGCTCTTATCCATGGTCAGTGGACCTTGTTGCTTTTGGGCCTGTGGTGAGACAGCACATCGTGGCAGCATGTGTGCAAAGCTATTTACCTCATGGCCTATAGAAGAGATGCCATGTGTGACCCCAACAACCTAAGACTTCCCACTAGACCCATCTCTTGAAAATTCTATCATCTCCCAGTAGCACCAAGCTTGAGAACCACAGTTTTAACACATGGGCCTTTGGAAGATGTTTCAGCTCCTAACTGCGGCAGTGAGGCCAAGGAATGGAACTCTTGAACTGTTTGTTTTCAGTCTAGATGACTAGTTTTCTCTTTTTACTCAGTTCATTCCTTGACAAGTCTTCTAGTCATGTTTATGGATATATATCATGAAGACAGTTGTGACCAAAATTTTTTTTCTTCTTGTAAACCATTTTTTAGGGCCAAGGAGATAGCTCAGTAGGATGAGTGCTTGTTTGGCAAGTGCAAGGTCCTGAGTTCAATCTCGGTACTACCAAAAAACAAACAAACATAAAGATAGGTATGGCAATGTATGAAGATCTTTGTGACTACCATGTAGGAGTTTGCCCAAACTAGCTTGTGTTACAAAGGGATCCTACGTGATGGCCTTGTATCACACTGCAGCTGGGCTGAAAATGGATTTTGCTTGGTTGGTAGGTAATGCATATGTAACCAATACATTTTTAGAGCTGAAAAATAACCAATCTCAATTGTGAAAAATGTTTATACTGTAATCTTACATCACTTATCATTGAGATCTCCCCCCATAGACATAGACCCCATAAACATAGACATAGACCGACATAGACACACACACCGCATCCCACCTACCTCATACCATATTTTTTCATCAAGTCCTTCATGTATAATAGGCACTGAAGTATTCCTGAATACCTGCCTTTCTTTTTTTGCAGTGAACCAGGGCCTCATGCATGCTAGCAACTGTACTACTTTAGAGCCACATCCCCAAGCCCAAACTGCTTTGAAATTTGTAGGTTTTATCTAAATTTTGCTAGTCTAATGCTGATTCACCTCTGATCAAATATATGCAAACTTAAGGCACAAGATAGATGGTCTTGAACTTGTGTAAGGCTTTCATTTTTCAAAGTTTTGGTGTATGTTCTATTCATGGCCAGCCTTAGGAGGGCAGTTAGTTCTGTCTCTTGTTTTCAGCAGCTTATTTACAATATTTGATTAGCCCAGCAATACACTGGGAGGTGGTAGTGGAATGGGAAAGGGGGTCTCTGAATGATTGTGCACATTTCTTGAGGCTAAGCACATTTCATGCATTTCTATGTAAGCCTGATTGTAACCCCTCAAGGTGGGCTGTGGTAGTATCTTTCTTTTCAGATATGCAGACTCTCAGCTCACAGAGCCGAAGTAAGCAAAGAAGCCAGATTTCAATCTTGGGTTTATTTGACTCCAGGAGCTTGGCTTTTAACCACTGATCATATTGTGCTGCCTGAAAGTCTGATATTATTTTATGTTTTTGACTAGTGATTGTTTGAGTATTATACTAGGTATTCTGGGGTTAGAAATAGGCCTGAAAAATTAGGGTCCCTGTTTCCAATTATTAATGTTTCATTGAAATGGAATTTTGAAACTAGAAACTTTCACAGAGAAACATGATACTTGAAGCAAACATGGTATTTAAGCAAAGGCCTGTAGCTTCCCTTGCAGAGCATTGCTCTCTTGGCTCCATCTGTAGCAGGACAGGACTTCTACTGGAGCTTTCTTCCAGAGGAGCTCTTCAGTGTCTCACTGCATAGTTCAGGCTGGCCTTGAACTCACCATGTTTCTTAGCCTGGCCTCAGACTCTGTAATCGTCCTTCCTCAGCCTCCGTAGTGCTTGGAATACAGGTGTGCACCACCATGCCTTTCCTCTCTTCTCCTCTCCTCTCCTCTCCTCTCCTCTCCTCTCCTCTCCTCTCCTCTCCTCTCCTCTCCTCTTCTCTCCTCTCCTCTCCTCCCCTCTCCTCTTCTCTCCTCTCCTCTCCTCTCCTCTCCTCTCCCCTCCCCTCCCCTCCCCTCCTCTCCTCTCTTCTCTCATCTCCTCCCCTCTCCTCTTCTCTCCTCTCCCTTCTTCCTTCCTTTTTGTATTTAGTGCAGGGTCTACAGGTCTCACTGCACAGATCAGACTCATGGTGATTCTCCTGTTTTTAGCCTCCCAAGCGCAGTCTCAGCAAGCCCCGGGCAGTGGGACTGGTACTGCAAGGCACCGCAGAGATCGAACCCTGGTTTCAGCATCTGCCTAAGCAGGTGCTTTAGTCAGCTGAGCTGTCAGGCCGGCCCTCTCTTTTCTTGGTATAGTGCCATGATACACTGAGATCTTGCTAGGGCATTAATCTCTTTGTACTCATGTACTTTATTCATGGAAAGACAATTTTTAAACTGGCTATGCAGCAGATTTGGTTATATTTGGCAGATTTGTACATGCATA